TCCTTCCTCTCCCTGTTTACTCTCCTGCCCCATCCCCCAGATAATTAATACTCCCTGTGGAAACAGCCTACTTATCCCTCAGGACTTGGCTCCATCCTCACCTAACCCCAGGCCTTCCAGGCAAGACCTCTCGCTCCGAGGGTACCACGCTCCTTTCCTCTCTGGTCCAGGAGCAGTTGGCTGTCCTCTCTTCCCTGGGAGCTGCTCGGCGTAGCCTGAGCTTCTAACCACTGACAAAAAAATGCCTAAACACAGCAAGAATTCAACAAAGGCTTAAGGATTCAATATGATTTCTAGAAAATGGGAGGACTGTTTCTTTGGTAATAATGATGCCAACCATTTTTGTGACCTCTCTTCATGTTCCAAAAACAGTACTCAATACTTCTGTGCTATCTCCTTTTTTTCTCACAACTGGTAGAGGAGGCCACCAAGATGTAAGAATGTTAAATAACTCATAAGGTTGTGCATTTGGGTGGTGCTTCTGGATTCCATCTGCCTATCATCTGTGTGTGACACACACCAAGAACAGTCACCTGCAGTTCAATATGGATTGGCTTTCTGTCTGTCTTTCCCCTAGTGGAATCCCACTCTGTGGTGACCTTTGGCAAAGTTAACTGAATCTGCCTCCTCTGGAATCCATTATGCCACTATAGCACTAAACTTAATGTATATTGTACCAAGGATACCACTGAGACAAGGATTGTTACTGTAAATTACCTCTGGTTTTGACCACTGTTAATGAAATCAAAAAGGGAACCTGGTGATGCAATAGTTAAGCACTTGGCTGCTAGCCAGAAGGTTGGCAGTTCAAATCCACCCCAGCTCCACAGAAGACAGACCTAGCAATCTGCTCCTATAGAAATTATAGCCAAGAAAACTCTGTGGGGCAGTTCTACTCTGTGACATAAGGTTACTATGAGTCAGAATTGACTTGAGAGCCCCTAACAACAATGAAATCAATAGAATTGTCCCCAATACTGTGTAAATAGGAACGTCTTTTACCTCTTTAGATTTTTCTGCTGCATTGTTTGTTCAAGGAAGGTATTGTAAAACACCAAATGGCTTATAGCTATATTCATTCCAAATTGAATGTTTTTAAAGAAATATTTTTTAATTTGTCAGAAGCATATCAACAGTCATAAAACTCTTATATATATATATATATATATATTCCCTGGCTCCATAACTTCGCTCTTGGGAATTTATTCCAAGAATGTAATTGGGAAGAGGCTAAAGATCACATGCACAGATATTTCCAATGCAGCATTATTTATATTGGAAACAAGCCAAATAATAATAGGGAGAACAATTTTGTACATCTTGGTCCATAAAATTATAAGCTGTCATTTACAATCATAAATTGGGAAATTTTGCAGTACAATGAAAATATTCTGTGATATTTAGAAGAAAGGAGAAGACTGTAAAATTCCCCCTAAAATCATAAAGCCATCTGAAGTACTAAAAGGGAACCATCAAGAATTAGGGCAACTGATTGATCTATTCAGGATTTGAAATTATGTGTGAAATTTTGCTTTTTCATTTCCTTAATTCTTGTTAAAGTGTGTGTATTCACTGAATTCCAGGAATAATTTTGTTCATATGTTTAGATTTTAAATGTTTTCGATTTATGTATTAGTGACTTTTTTTTACTGACGGTTCCTAACTCTGCCGTAAATTACAGCCTTGGTTATACTGCCAGTGTATAGTGCATATTTTATGAATGTTTACCTTTTATTGCATTCATAGTATCCCTTTCCTAGAGCAGTGTGTTTCTCAAATTTCAATGTGCATTCATCTCACCTGGGGATCTTATTAAAATGTTGATTCCAATTCAGCAGGTACAGGGTGGGACTTGTAATTCTCCATTTCTCCTGAACTCTCCCAGGTGGTGCAGTTGCTGTTGGCCTGTTGGCCTTCAATGGTGCACATTGAGTAGTAAGGTCCTAGAGCCCTTCTTTGCATAAGAAGGTGATGCTACTGACCCATTGTCTGTATCACCACCTTGGAAAGGGCTGTTAGATACTCTCTTTACTTGGAGCCGCAGTAAAACAACAGTGAAGCACTCAGATGCTAACCAATAGGTTGGCAATTTGAACCTACACAGCAGCACCATGAGAGACAGACCTGGAGATCTCCTCCTGAAAGATTATTGTTGTTAGGTGCCTTTGAGTCACTTCCAACTCATAGTGACCCTATGACAACAAAACGAAACACTGCCTCATTCTGCGCCGTCCTCACAATCACTGCTATGTTTCAGCCCATTGTTGCAGCCACTGTGTCAGTCCATCTCATTGAGGGCTTTCCTCTTTTTCTCTGACCCGCTACTTTACCAAGCATAACGTCCTTCTCCAGGGACTGGTCCCTCCTGACATGACCAAGGTACGAGAGTCATAGCCTCACCATTCTTGCTTCTAAGGAGCATTCTGGCTGTACTTCTTCCAAGACAGATTTATTCATTCTTCTGGCAGCCTGTGATATATTTTATAGTTTTTGCCAACACCAGAATTCATAGGCATCGGTTTTTCTTCGGTCTTCCTTGTTAGGTGTCCAGCTTTTGCATGCATTTGAGGTAACTGAAAATCCTTTGCCTTGGGTCAAGTGCACCTTAGTCCTCCCAGTGCCATCTTTGGGTTTTAACACTGTGAAGAGGCTTTTTTGCAGCAGATTTACCCAGCGCACTACATCGTTTGACTGGACTGCTGCTTCCATGGGTGTTGATTTGGAGACAAGTAAAATGAGATCCTTGACAACTTCATTCTTTTCTCCATTTATCATGATGTTGCTTATTGATCTAGTTGTGATGATTTTAGTTTCGTTGTGTTAAGTTGTAATCCATTCTGAAGGCTGTAGTCTTTGATCTTCATCAGTACGTGCTTCAAGTCCTCTTCTCTTTCAGCAAGCAGTGTGTCATCTGCATATCGTAGGTAGGTTATGAGTCTTCTTCCAATCCTGATGCTGTGTTCTTCCTCCAATAGTCCAGTTTCTCAGATAATTTGCTCAGTATACAGACTGAATGAGTACTATGAAACAATACAACCCTGATGCGTACCTTTTCTGATTTTAAACCACATAGTATCCCCTTGTTTAAACCACTGCCTCTTGGTCTATGGACAGTTTCTGTAGAACTCATAAAGGTTATGGCCTAGGAAACCCTATGGGGCAGTTCTTCTGTGTTCAGTTGAACTGCTATGAGTTGAAATCTAGCAAAACCTGCCCACTTGCTGTGGTAACGTTTTTAACATGATGGGAAAGGGCAGAAGTGCAATAAGCATACTCTAATTATAGAGACATGCTATCTTTTGTCAAGCCTGATGACCTTTAAGCTAATCAATTAATAAGACCTTTGTCAATCAGCAGAAATGACTAGAAGACACTAAAATAGATGATGCCACATATATTATAAAGAGTGACAAAGTAACTTCTGTAGTAATCATACTGTCAGTGTTCTTGGATACCATTTTGAGCCTGATTTGAAAATGAGATAATCTTATCTGTATTAAGAAAAGCTTTGTGCAGAATCTTGGGCCTTGCAGTGAATCCTTTGGGCATGGCAGTGGGATATAGAATAGAAAACCACCTTTTTAAAAAATGTAAGGAAGTAGAGCAGGGGCAGTGGTGGTTCGTTGGTAGAATTCTCCCTCCACGTGGGAAACCTGCTTGGTTCAGTTCCCGACCAGAGTGCCCTTCATGCACCGCCGCTACCCATCAGTGGAGGCTCAAATTCTGCTGGGATGCTGAACAGGACTAGGCAGGATGGCCTGGCGATCTACTTCCAAAAATCAGACAGTGAACAACCCTGTGGGTCACAGTGATCTGATCATGGGACTGGCACAGAACGAGCCAGTTCTCCTGTTGGGCATGGCTCTGCCTTGAGTTGGGGGCTCACTCCAGGGAAGGTGATAACAATGACCTGAAGTAGAATATTTTCTGTAGCAATGGAAAATCACTTTACATTTGAGTAGGAGTAAGATGCTATAGTGTGTGGTAACCTGGAAGTAGTGGGGAATTTAAGCTGTCTATTGAACTTGTGCCATAACCATGATTGCCAAAACCTACTATTGTCTTTACAGGATAATAGCATGTTTCCCACTTGATTCTCCACAGTGACTGAAGCTGGCTTTGGTGCTGACATTGGAATGGAGAAGTTCTTCAACATCAAGTGCCGAGCTTCCGGCTTGGTGCCCAGCGTGGTCGTGCTGGTGGCAACAGTGCGGGCTCTGAAGATGCATGGGGGTGGGCCAAGCGTAAGTCCTCATCCTTCCTTCCTTCCTAATAAGAAAATGGTAATTACAACAAAACGGAATCGTGGGTTTGGGACATTCATGCCAGCTGAGTCATCTCAGTATTTATATAGCTTCCTAGAATTTCTCCCCTCAGAAACCTTTTCTACAAATTGTCATCATAAGGCACTTAGAGCTGAGTAAGTTCGAGTAAATAGTGACACCCACACAGTTATTTCTAAGCAGTGTTTTGGAAAGGATAAGATTAGTCTCTGAAGCTCAGGGCAACATTCTGTGACCACATGGTAATGGCAGAGGAGAGGCTCTCGTCCCTGAGGGAGAACAGAAGGGTTAGACCGGTTGCTTTGGTGGCCGGGGTTTTTGAGTGTTTGTTCGGATAGCGTTTCAGTTCACTGATGTGCCATCCCATCAGATTTCATCTAAAACTATTTTCTTTCTGTTTCTGTTTATTGTGAGTTTGCTTTATAACTCTGTTACATCACTGGATTGTTTCTAAGAGCTTTACTTGGAAAATACAAATTTTATTTTAACTGATTCAATAGAACAGAAACTGACTCCATCTCAAAGACTTTGGACATTTGCCTGTCTTCTAATATAAAGAATTTACAGATATCTGAAAGGAATTTTTTTTTCCTTTCCATAGAAAGGGTGTGAGTTTATTTTTTTTGTTTGATTGTGTGTCTTACGTTTTCAGGAATTTCAAATGGAGAGTAAGAAATCTTGTACTGACTGATCATTTTGAAATACAATAATCTGAGGCTTCTTTATCATGACACTACGGATGGCTTAGATAAACTACCATGTATCATCCCTTAATTGATATGCTGTGGACATCAAAACCCACTGCCATCGAGTTGATTCCGACTCATAGCAACCCTGTCGAACAGAGAAGAACTGCCCCATAGGGTTTCCAAGGCTGTAAATCTTGATGGAAGTGCACTGGCCCATCTTTCTCCTGTGGAGTGGCTGGTGGTTTCAAACTGCTGAACTTTTGGTTATCAGTCGAATGCCTTACCCACTGCACAAACAGGCTCCTCTACCGTGTGCATAGATGTCATATAATCAATGGTTATTCCACAGTAAGAGAGAATAGCAAGTTCCTGGGTAGCACAAATGGTTAATGTGCCGCTAACTGAAAGACTGGAAGTTCAAGTTGTCAAAGAATGAAAACACAGTCTCTGTTCAAATAAAAGAAAAGAGAGTTATTAAAGGAATAATACAACTGCAGTTGGGCAACAATTTGTAAAATTACTAATTGTTCTGAAGTACAGAACACAAGGGCTTATATGTAGCAGAAGTGTAGGGAAACAGTAACCATTAGTTATATGTTAGTGACATAAGTCATGTATCAGTTCATCTGTAGACATCCTGTTCTGGAGCTACCTACACAAGCATTTTGTAAAATTGGTTAATTATCTTTAAAGGATAGGTGCAGTTTGAGCAGAAACTTTTTTTTT